AGAGTTTTTCACACTTGGGTCAACTCAAATAGCATGCATTGTCGGGTTTAGTCTTTATAAGAGCGGCTGACTGCCATTTGTTGCAAAACCGTGCAATAAACCACTAATAAAGCGTTGATGTAGTTTCTACAGCAGCATCATCTCCTTTTATACGCCCGCCATGGCTTTCGCAGTGGTAGGTCCTGTCTTATGAATTTTCTCTAATAAATTAAGCGCTGGACCAAAGCACGTGCATGCCATCTATATTGACTTCAAAAGGACTTTCGACAGCGTCGCTCACCAACACCTACGGCATAAACTGCGCAGCGCAGGAGTTCATGCGAACTTCTTCGTCTGGGTTCTAAACATTTTGACCGGACGGTTCCAAAGAGTAAAAGTCGGGCGCCAGCAGTCCTCAGGGGTACCTGTGGAGAGTGACGTCCCACGGAGCTCCGTTTTAAATCCCACGTTATTGCTTGTTTTCATCAAAGACTGTGTCACGAACCTCGACTTTGATGTCACCATTTTGGTGCAAAGTTGTTAAAAATACGACAGATTAAAACCACTTGCAGGCAAACTTGAACAGGCTGGAGGACTAGTCAAAGAATCCGCTTACTAAATGTAACCTTCAAATTGAAGGTTTACTTCATGAACGATAGGACGCTGCAGCAAGCTGACAGTCAGAAGGACTTGGGGGAGTGGAATACTTCTTCACTCAAACCGACGCTTAACTGCACGAAGGCGCGGAGTCGGTCAAATCTATATTGCAGCCGATTAAGCGAGTCTTCATGGGATTTGAAAAAGACAGCTTTTCAAAGATATCTGGAAGTTCTGTTCTGCCGCACCTAGAATTCGTTGTAAAGGCATGGAGACCTTGGATTGTCAAAGAATGTGCCCTTTTAGAGAAGGTCCAGAGGCGAGCGACAAAAGTTATCAAAGGTCTGGGAACACCGCCCTGTGAAAACAGACTGTCGACCCTCAACCTATTTTCTCTCCTGCAGGCAACAACGAGAGGATTTCGTATTAACTTTCCGTATTATGAATAGCCATGGAGTGTTGCTTTATCCCCGATGATTTTTTACTTATGCTCACTCGTCCACTTCGCAAGGCCGTCCCCTTAAACTACGCCCAGGCAAAGCAAGGATCGACGGGCGCAAGCTTTCCTTCAGGAACAGAGTGGCTGCGGCGTGAAACACCCTGTCCGAAGATGTTGATCTCCACCTGTGTAAATTCATTGAAGAGCAAACTGGACATGCACCAACCACTTTTCACTAGCAACATGATAATCTATTTGTCGAAATAATGCTAATACGAATATTATACTACTTGCACTAAATGAGTAGTCATGCATGATTATTATTTTCTGCTAACCAACAGATGTTCGCTTTTCGCATGCAATCATGTAAATGACGTCTTTCTTGAATTTTTCTTCTGTATCGATACATTTTTAACTACTTTGTTAGCAATAGGGAACTCAAAGGCGTTCACCTATATTTCCCTTAATAAAACTGAACCACCATAGAGGCCACATACTAAGAAGCCACTCTACTGGACATACCTTTTTGGATGTATTGACTAGGCGCCCAGGGTGCGTCGTCGGGTCGCCGCGGTCGTAGTTGATCCATGGGACTGGGTTGAAGACGGCTAATGTCTACAGCTGAGGCCTGCTGTTGAGACTGTTCTTGCGGTTGAGGCTGAACCTGGTGTTGCGGTTGTTGTTGCTGCTGTTGGTTAACAACAGCCACCGCCGGGGGCAGCGGCATGGAGACCACACTGTCCAGTTGATCGATCGCTGCAGCCTGCATCACCGAGGTGACACGCGACTGCCTCACGGCTGCCGCCGTTCGCTCCATATCTGTGGGCACTGGTGGCGGTGGTGGCATGTTGTTATGTATTTTCATCTACAATCAAGAACAGAGGTACAAAGTC